GTATATTATATCACTATTAACCAAATTAATATATATGTATTTTTTTGTGAAAAAATAATCTAAAAATTATTTTAACATTTTACCAATAATTAACAAAAAGTACATTAACGAGTTCATTATAATATAGAGTATATTATTATGTACATTACCTAGTTACCTATACACCGTTTGGAAATAAAATGGACTGGTGCCACAGCTCTAATGCGTTTTCTTCGTTGTCCAGGATATATTGTCTGTAATGATTATACTCAAGACTCAACATACATTCGTCCGATTGTGAATTTTCATCGTCAGTTTTCTCAATACGACCCTTATTTCGTACAAAAAAAGTCGCTTTGCAATAATAATAAAGAATAGGGAGTTTATCATTTATATATTATACATATTTTTCTTATACTCAATTTTAAAACAGTTTAAATTAATAATTTTATTTTACCTAACCTACGACGAATACAACGGATGTAACAAATTTGCTACATGCAGAAGACTTTACGTGTTACGGACGGTAATCTCTCACATAATAGTCACATGATTCTATTTATGGATTATAATATTATATTATTTCAAAAAGTTGAACATTTAATTCAAGATACCTGTTCATGTGTTGTTTATAAACCAGATATAAATTATTGAAAATATGCAAAGGATTGATTTACAAATTTTTGGAAAGATATCGGCCATTGAATATAAAATATTCAACTTATATTGTATTATTTCCAAAATGTTTTGATGTGGTTGAATTTTATGGTATGGTAGAATACTTAGAGCAACATTTTAGGTTCTGAGAGGAGCGATGATTGTATTGATTTCACAATGATGTGTGTTTTTATTATCTGCAATCCCTTTTTTTGGCAGCAAAATCAATGCTTTTCTTCAACAGCCTCTTTTCTGATAAGAAAGTGAATCTAGTTGGTAAGGTTAAAAATACAAAATTCCCAAAAGTATTCAAAAGCGTAATAAAGAAAAAAAATTAAGGAAAATTAAGTTTTTCTTACTGAAAACCAGTTTTCGAAATAATCAATTTCGTTATTAAGTGTTACTGAATATTTTTACTTGTAATATTTATATGCAACATAAAATGTTCAAAATATTAAGAATATTTATACATCTATATAGGCATAAAACAATTTTGATATTTATGTAGATTTCCATAATTTAAATCTTCGATACATATTAGAAAATAGTTTATTTATTTATCTATATAAGAAGTAGATTTACCACTCTGTGCCCTTTTTATTATATTATTACTATTATTATAAATTATAACTGTTTTAAGCGATATTTTTTTTTTTTTTTTATTAAATTCGCAACAACAATGGCTCATGCCATCACTATACAGTTATGAAGTAGGTAATACAGTATTACGGTGTATTTTGATGTAGAATTTGTGAGCGCCGATTACAAATTTTAATTTTTTTTATGTAGATAACTGTTAGTCTGACATCTGCCTGAAGATAATTGCTTTTTAATAACATTGTTTTATTCCGAGGCCTACCCAGGTGGTTTTACCAGGGATATTTTCGATTTTTTTTTTCCGAGCGCAGCGCAGACGTCACTTTTTTGCAACAGGTCAGCCGATGAAATATTTAGTAGGGGTGGTCAAACTTGTTTTGATTAAGATCTAATGAGGATATATTTTTTCTTTTAGGATCGACTAATGTAAAAAAATTATTTAATATTAATAATTAACATACTTATTTAAATATACAATTAAGTTATCTAAAATGAGTGTTTCATTTTAAATTTTTAAGTGACTTTAAAATGTATTAACATTTTATTGTTGATGTAGAACCGTGTCATTGCACATCATGACACAGCGAAGACGCTGTGCTAAAGTCTAAAACTAACCTACTCAGCTTCTATAAATTATAACTTTCATGTGAGAAAATGCCATTTCACATTAACAGGTTAATCCGAAACATATGTATTTAATAAGTGTATCTACTAAATTGCAAATATAAAAGAATAATTAATAAATTCTAACAATGGGGATCGACTTAGAAATCGTCCAAGATCGACCAGTCGATCGCGATCGACTGTTTGGCCACCCCTGCTATACAGTAATGAAGTAGGTAATACAGTATTACAGTGTATTTTGATGTAGAATTTGTATTATGTTGTTTGTCACAACCTTAGTGTCTTTTACTTATCATTATGTGATGTATCTGATTATGTACTAGGGAGTTCGGAGGAACCCTGGTGTATTTATGTATATTCTTTCTTGGTATCTAAGTAAGTGCTACTTATTGTCAGTTCTTGTGATGTAGCAAGAATATTAGCCCGTCGTTGGTATCGCTATGTAAAGTCCCGCCATTGGTATTGAGTGAGCGCTGCGCTCACCTTGTTGTTTTTTCATCATTATTTATTATATAATGAACATAAAATATTGAAACCAACAACGAATTATTTATAGTTTAATCTTTTACAAAAAATGTTCTTACAATTTTTCTCGATTATAAATTGTTAACCACTAAAAATTAATTTATAATTTTTTATACATAATTATATAATAAGATAATCATTATCATTCATCTTCGCCTTAGTAGTCTGGAACATTTTGCTGATTATCATACAGTACACATATAAATGTTGGGTGCTACTTAAAAATAGGTCTGAGTTTACGAAAAAGTATTTGGTTGACCTATTGAGTGAGTGAAACGCTGAATTTATGGATATTAACAACATTGCATGTCGATATCTAATCAAGAATTATTTATACAATTTTTATATTTGCAAAAGTATACTTAAATATGTGTCGATTGAAGGTATAAATAGTATCAGATGAATCAAGTAATAAATAAACAAATGGCTCTCAAAATACTAACGAGGTGAGCGCCGCGCTCACATCGCCACCACTGACGGGTTAGTCTTGTACCATTGTCATTTCTTGTTTCATACGAACTACAATGGGTATGTATATTTTTTATTTGCAAACTTTTGATTAAAATCACCAACTATCATTTTTAAGCAGTTCGTGGGTAAGTTGTTCATCACTCTTTTAATTCATCATAGAACTTTTAATTTATATCATCGGCTCTGTTCTTTGTAAGTGCGAAACAGTTTATTAAAATCAAATCAAAATATCACCCAGATATCTTAATGTAGCATATGCGATCATTTACAGGTGAATGAAACTCATGTATGTAACTCTTTACGTCACAGAATTATTTGCCCTTATTATTTATGAACGATACAATCCCCGAACGTCCCCATAACGGTAAAACCAAGGTTATTATCATTATTATCAGCATTATTAGTCCCCGAGCGCACCTATTCAAGGTTTCACCTTATTATTATTACGAAAGGTACGTAAGTAGTTCGATAGTAAACTAAAATAGTCACGACAATGTTATGCAACAACAGTCCCCTGTGTCTGTTGTTCAGCGTCGTCGCATTTGTCGTTTTCCCTGGCAGACGCCAACAGGGCCACCTGTTCCCTGAATTATTATTATACAAAATCCATAGCGCAGCCACACTGACCAGCCCACACTACTTAACATTTTCCGTCGGAGACCACCGTGCCGACTCTATAAGCTCTACGACTACGAATTACTCGTTTTTCTGATCGCTGACTGTGCACTCGTATTGGTCGTTACATCTCACAGACATCCATGCCAACACACACGAAAACCTCGTGGATATTCATCTGCTGTTTTTTCGTTGTAAATATTGTGTCGACTACCATCATGATGGGCTAAGCTCAACCCGTTTACCCGAGGATAGGCAGAGCCAGTTATGTCAACCACACCACCGGTCTCCACCAATATCTCTGTCTTAAGACAGCAGTCGTCGTCACATTCGTAGTCATAATGTATTGTAAGTCCCCTATGTCCCCCCCCTATAATACTGTTAGCCACCACGGCGAAAGCCAAAAGTTCTTTTTCATTTATACCTCTTATAACACTGTTAGATCTTGTGGCACAAGCCGTGAGCCCCCGTTACAAAATCAACTTTTTACAATATGTTCATGTCGCAATTACGTGACCATTAAAAGATGCTTAAGCGCACACACGGTAACCCTGTGGCTGGTGGTTGTGAGTTATGCAACATGCCGAACCCCGTGGGCCGTAGTTATTCTTTTTATTATTATTCATATAAAAAAATAATGTCTTGGGACAAAATCCAAATTATTATTCATACAAAAAAAAAAAAAAACGTGAAAATTATTATTATATAATATAATTGTCATTCTGCCCGAAAATTATTGTAAGCCACATTCGTGGTCTCCACAGTATTATTATTATTATTCTATATTTCTATTAGTTAAATTGTGCACATTGCCATGTGTAAAAAAAAATCAATTATTATTCTTTCATTACTAGTGCTATTATTATGTTAGGTAAATAAAAAATGAAAAATATGCAAAAAAAAAAAATGTATTTTTAAACATTTAATTAATAACAATCTATAGAAAACTAATCTTTATTCAGTGTTGCAGTATAAGTGAATTAACTCTTGACGTGTCTCCGGTAGACGGGTTGGGGGCGATATGCCCGGTGATGCTGGTTGAGGAAAGGTGACACAACACAATTAATTGAAAAAAACAAGCCGATGTGTTTAGATATGAATTTAATCAGTTTTCAACAGGAAATGAGCAACTATTATTAAAATCGAAAAAAAGAACATTATGTCGCTAGTATGTGGTGGTCTAACGGGTCGAGTACAGTCTACGAGTGGGGTAGTGTTCGCGTTGCCGTGACTGGTGAAAGATCGAGTACCGGCGCGTGGAGACGGTTGCTCGTTGCACAGTTCTAGCGTTCCAAAGCCGTTGTCGGCCGGTGCGCTGGTGTTGTCCTACCGTGACCTGGTGGTTGATAAAAGCTGGCGCGGTGGGAATGCGACGTTTGAATTCAAACGCCGGTTCCCGGGCCCGCGTCATAATCGCCCTCCAAACCGCCAGTCATGGTGGTGATGCGACCGGTGCTCCGAAGTTTCCGGCCCTGGGCCCTGACCACGGCTTCCGGCTTGTGACAGCGGTGCGTGGCCCTGGTTCTGCCTGGTCACTCTTGCTTTTTCGGGGAGGACTCCACCGAGGTTGTAGACCACCATGTTGCGTCGTGATCGTTCTCGACCTTCCCCAGATATTCCGGGGTTTTGTCCCTTAGCACGTCGTTCTCCTCCTCCGGTGAGATCTCCATCTCTTCCGGAATGGTTTCGGCAGTGTTTGGGATGGGCGTGTCGGTTGCTTGTCCAGCGGTGGAAGAACCGGCTGGCGGCTGTCCGTCTACGACCATGTTGTCCCGGGATGCTGGTGGTAGGGGAGTAGCGGGTGGCGTGCTATGAGCTTCCAATTTGTTGTTGAGCCGGTGTTGTTGGGTTGTCTTTGCTCTTTTCGTCGCCATGTACTCCCTCAGCCTCGCCTTGTCCCTCTGTTGCTGCCTAGTCAGCCCCGACGCCGTGGGTGCTGGTTGCAGTTTTTTCGCCGAGGTGTTTGTTATTCTTGTTTGGCCCGTGCTGGATTGTGTACTTTTCGGCGCGTAAGCTTGCTTTACTAGTTGTACAGGTGTTGTGTGGGCCGCTTGTGTTGGCCTGAGGTGTAGTGCTGGTGTATGTCGGTTTGCGGATGGCCGCATTTGACGGAGGCTTCTGTGCACGTCCGCCGTCCTATCTTCTCATCAACGTATGTAGGCTGCTCATAGTGCCGGGTCCCGTTGCAATTGATCCAGTGGCATGCGTCGTGTCCTATCCGCTGTTTTTCCGGGCTCCGCCCCGGTAGTCTGCAGGATCTGCAGTTCTGTCACCTGCTGGTTTGGGTATGACGGTGTTTGTTGTTGACTGTTCGAAATCGGGGTTGCGGGTATTCTGTTTGTGCTGAAAATAATGATTATATTACTGATTGTTGTGCCTACGCTGTTATTGTTATCAATATTGGTTTTTTCCTTTTTTCTTTTGTGTGTTGTGTTGTCTATCCCGTTTGTTGTTCTACTTGGCATGTCGCTCGTTTCAGGCACGATACGTGAATTTTCCTTGGCAGCAGCTGGTTGGTTAGGAAAACCCCTTTTCCAAACCGCTTTTCCAGCCTTACTGGTCCCCAATATTTCGGCCCGAATCCAGCGTGGAACCCTTGATGTGCCTTTGACAAGTGATGCGCCTTGTAGTACACTATGTCACCGGTTTCGTATATTGTTTTTGTTATGAATTTAATCAATTGCGAAGTTGTTTTCAACAGGAAATGAGCGATTATTATTACAATCGAAAAAAAAGAACAATGTGTCGCTAGTATGCGGTGGTCTAACGGGTCGCGTACAGTCTACGAGCGGGGTAGTGTTCGCGTTGCCGTGACTGGTGAAAGATCGAGTACCGGCGCGCGGAGCTGGTTGCCGGTTGCACCGTTCCAGCGTTCCAATGCCGTTGTCGGCCGGTGCGCTGGTGTCGTCCTACCGTGACCTGGTGGTCGCTATACCTACCTATACGAATTAACAATACACGTCTGTTCGTGTAATGCAATAGGCGTGAATCATGGTTTATCTTCCGCTATGATCGGTAGGTAAGGTATAATTTTAAAGCCCAGCGTTTTAACGCTAGCCGCGATGGGGAGTAAAATCAGAAAAATCAACACTTAACGTCACATCGCAGTGGGTTCCCCTCTTCAGCTAAGCACACTGCATTTTCTGGTCTTTCCCTTTTCTCTGTCACAAGTGCTGCGGCTAGGGCGATCTATATATAATAAATATATATTTATATATACACACTTTTTTTAAGTTTAAAGTATAGGTACAAAAATATGTTGCTGAAATTCGATTTTCGCAACTTATAGCTATGGCTATTTCTCAAAAGGCAACAATAAAATTGTATTGATATTTATATAAAAAAAACTACATGTGGGTCATTAGTACTCATTACCTCAATTTTTTTTTACACTTCGACGTTTAAACTCACAAACACTATGTTTTGTAAACATGTGTCAATACTTTAATAGCATCTCTATTCTTTATTTATTGCCATGATCTATTCATTTTGTAATATATATGCACCTATATTTATACCTTGTGTAATACCTACGACGTACACCTAGATTAAAAGTTCAATTATTGTTTGAACCTATATGTTGTGTGTGAATATGTGATGATAATATGGATGGTCTATTAGTCCAAAAATGTACAATGGGAAAAGTAAACATTACATTTATTACAAAAAACCATTTTATCCAGTAGCGTTATTACCAGTTTTACCATCGTACTCAATTGCCAAAAGAACGTTTATCTATGAATCAATATTTTCTATGTTTTCTAATTTCCAAAAACCACTATTTCCAAAGTCATCAACCACTTTTGAGCATATAATAATATTATAATAATATTATAATATGTACTATTAACGTGGTACTATACATCGTGGTGCATATGTAGTGAAATCTAAATATTCATTTAATATCTTCAACTATTCTACTATTCAGTTTCTGTGATACAATAAGCATCAAACTATGACACAAGGCTACTGGTCTACGATATTCCTAAAGATAATTTAAGTAATTACAAAAGTTATAAATAGTTCTTTTTAGGTATTTGACCATTTAAATAATTTATTCAATAAGATATTTCCAGATTAATCATAACACTCGTATTAGTTATTACTATAATATTATTATAGTTTTAAAACAATAGGTATATATTATAATATCAACTGCATAGGTATAGTAATAATAATAGTGTATAGTATTTAAATATTTACAAAAAAAAATATATAATGTTTAATATTTATAATATAATTATAATATTAAATTGTCTATTTCATAACATTGTAATGTGATTTATAATAAATATATAATGAACAAAATAGTACAAAAAACAACTATGTCAGCTGATAATAATGATAAACAATTTAAAATTTTTAATGAAAAAAAAATAAAGTAATTATCCTGCCAATAAATCTGATGGATAAGCAACTGATTTAATAATTATAATATGTATATACATAGGTACCTAATAATTAGTAATAATATTTAAACATTTACAGTACAAAATGTAAAGGTTATATATTATTTTTCAACTGGCATGCGTAATATTGAAAAAAATATAAATACAAATAACGCTGGATATGAAAAAAATACCTAACGTAACTTTAAAAAAAGTTTATTTATGAAACATGGTAGTATAATACAATAATGTAAAGTAAATATTTTACTAAACATTTATGGTGTATTACTATGCCTTCATATTCCGTGGTAAATGTCCTGCACAATTCGCAATTATGCATGTTTTCTTGTATCGCCTTGTATCGTAATATTGCAAAATGTATGCCCACAAGGTCTTAATATGACAGATGTCTCATCGTTAAAACAGAATATGCATAGCTCTACAATAATAATATCTGTAAAATAAAATAATTATATTTCAATTGTTTGTATATATTCAAATTGCAGGCCATTATTGATAACTAATAAGAAATGAAGAAGAAATGCATGTATTGACTTAACAATGATGGATATTTTTTTTTATCAAAAGTAGAAATTTCCCAATACTTTTTTAATTCATTGGGAAAAACCAAATTCTAGACCCTTTCCACTTGGAATCTTGTTTCATAAGATATATTTATCATTGAATTAATATTTTACATAATCATTGCATCGACAAACTTATTGATAAGGTACACTAGACATTTAGGAGGAAGTTATTAGTTTATTATTGGAGCAGAGGGCTTGTAGCTCTAAAAAGCACTAAATATCCAAGCATTTATGGACTTAAAAAACCTATAATAAGCAATAAAAATATGCTCATCCTTTTTTTGAATGTGATTTATTTTAAAATGCATAAATCGTTTTTTTAACAAAATAATAATAAAATTTAATTTCTTGAAAAATTTTCTTTTGACCCTAAAATGTAAAATACCTAGCATTTTAGTAAAAACTGTTGGTAAATAAAATTAATCCAATCGGTGACCCCTCGAGACGTACTTCTACGAAAACCATGTGTCTGCAAACAGTCAACAACCAAATTATAATATGATGAAAATTTAAAATTTTTTTTTAAACATAAATTATTTTATGATCAAAATTTAAAATATTTTTTTAGTCAAAGGTATTATATTATGATGAACATTTAAAATAATTTTTAACTCAAACATATTTTGGTTGTAATTAATATATTAAATGAAATTAAAATGTCGGTAGAAAAATGATAATTTGTTTAAAATATGCATTTATATGAAAAATAAAATGTAATAATTAATTTTGTGAAAGCATGAGACGTATTGGTTTTGTATTCTGCTATTTTTTTTTGATAGAACAAAATATAAATATGCAAATGCTGCAAGTCCCCTGTTTATTATTATTATGATTATAATACATTTTATTTGATCTTAGTAAAATATATTTATAACCATATTTTGAACTTACTTGTTGGCCATTTAGTGTTTGGCTCAGCTCCAACGTTGTTATATTCTAAACACCTCGGATTAGATCTAAAATGTATAGTTTATACCAATATTATTAATGATTTTTGTATATGTGCTTTAAAAGGATTTACCATAAAATGTCCATAATGGTGGATGAACTCCTAAATACAAAAGTAAAGATGCGTGGAATGACTTAACAAAGTTATTTGTCCGGTGATCTGATCCGTGAACTGAAAATCTTTCTGGACCTACCACACCCATCCAATACCGATCAAAGTAATTGAAGACTGGTTGTAATTCTTCAAAGACTTGTTTCTGTATTGCAATCGCCCTTATCATCATCAGTCCATCGGATATTGTAAAACCTCTGACATTGGGATATGCGTTTCCACTTGGAGGTAGATGTGGAAGAGCTATTAACTAAACAAAAATATAATATCGAAGAGTCTCGCTAGAGACTCCATTCTGTGCATAAGTAACACCGATAAGAAACAGCACACCGACAACCGATAGCGAGACTATTATACATTAAGTTTTGTTTCGGGGCTCGGACCTCTCACTCGCACGCGTTGGTTGAATGCAGAGTGCGAGAGAGACAGAGCTAAAAACTGCAGTTTTGTGAGTCTTTTTCTTTCGTCCGTCATACAGCGAGATGCGGCCTCCCAAACTTCCCCTTGTTACAAAACAACAGCTACTTAAATATGTACCTATTATTACTATTTTAATACTATAATAATAATAATTATTATTAAATAATTGTATTATTTGTTTACGCAAGCCGTCGTTAAACTCGTACCGCTATCGGTGTTGGCGACTTTACCTGTTGACCGCCGACTAAGCTTGCGTATTCCCCTTCCCGTCCGACGTGTTATCTGACTGGCTATTTTGCATGTTGTGCTGGCGCGCCGATATGTCTACTCCAGTTGCCCTGTCTCGCTTGACATCGGACGTCGCTGCTTTGACGTCGTGGAGACCTTTTTGGGTATCGTCTATTGTTTCGACTTCTATATTGTACCGGTCGAGATCCGAGTTACGTGTCGTCTACTCGTATGTTATGCTATAATCGTCAGTCGCCGTCATTAATAATTGCTGTGTCGCGCGCGTAGTACGTACGTACCTACTTACATTGTTGTAGCATATCGCGTACATGTTACGTAAGGTCGTCGCCGCCGCCGCCGCCGCCGCCGATCTATTTGAGTGTCAGGTGTAGTGCGTTGTACGGGAAGCCGCCGCCGTCCGTTCCACCGTCGACTGAAGGCCGTCGCCGAGCTATTTCCATATTAATTGATTTATCATAATATCGGTCTGCGCCGCCGATCAGCTGGTCGCATATAATTATCACGTCCAGCCACCTCCGACGACCATCGCCGCCGCCACCCAACAATAACAACATCACCGCCGTCGCCGTTGCACTGAGATAAGTTCTCCCCGTATGTTGTATTATCATTTTATATTGTTATCATGAATTGTATTATTATTATTGAGTTTTGTGTATGTAGTTGACATAGAGACGTCTATCGTCAATTGCACTTAAATTATTATTAATATCATCTGAGATAATTGGTCAATACAAATATTATACTCTACCTACCATTTACCA